TCTACTATTTTTGTCTGTTCATCTTCCGATTCTTCTTCTTCCATCATTTCAATTCGTTCATTTTCATAATTTTCTTCCTCTTCTAGTTCTTCTAGGTCTTCCCAGGACATCCTTGTTCCTGAATTTCTTGTTCTATTATTATTTCCTCTGAAGTTGGTTCTTCCTCTAAAATTTCTTTTTTGGTTATCAAAATTTCTATCTTTGTTTCTTGATTTATTTGGTTTATAACTTCCTTTTGATTTTCCTCTAAATGATCCTCTTGATCTTTTTGACTCTTTATTTTGCCATGAAAATGTTTCCGTCTTTCCATCAATAATTTCTCCTGACATTGTATCCCTGTTAGATTTTGGGTTTTTAAATATTGTTGCTTTCATTCTTAATGCTTCTATTCTTTCTTGTAATTCTTCGATTTCTTCGCTGTAATCGTCATTTTCTTCTTCGTTTAATTCTTGAATTTTTCTTCCGTAATTTCTTTTCTGATTAAGCCTCATTCCTAATTCTCCATTCCGTCTTTCTATTTGTGAATAAATTACAATGCAAAACGATTGAATTGATCCTATATTTCCTCTTAATTCTGGGAATTTTCCTTGTGCTTCTTCTGTAGCTAACCAATTTCTACATTTGGTTTCTACCCATGATGGTAATGATCTTAGGTAATGTCCAATTAAATTTCTTCTTTCCATATTTTCTTGTTTTGCTAATCGCTGTAGATTATTGAAGTATACATTATATTCTTGTATTGTTTCAAATTCTGATGTCATTTTTATGTTCATGAATTTGGCGTAGTTTAATTCTGGATTTACTATGCTTAAGAAATTATTAGTTATCCATGATTTTAATCCTATTGCTGCTGGTATCAATCCTGCTTCTCCAATAAATCTATGATCTTCCCATGTTCTAGGCCTTGCATCTCCTCGAGTATCTTCCCAAGCTATTTTCACTTCTCCTGAAAATCTTGTTGCTATAATTTCTATTATTCTTTTTGCTCTTAAACAATCATTCGCTGGTCCATCAAATGTCGCATTTAATCTTCCAACTCTCCCCGCTTGTCTTGTTAAACCCAAAGGATTTCCTCCTACTGTTGCTAAAATGAGTTCGCTTCCATCTCTTTCTGGATTTACTGCAAAATTACTTATATCTATATCATTTGCCGAATTCCTTTTTAGTCTGACTATTCCCCATTGTATTCCTGGTTCCGCTTCATTATTTACTCTTACTAATGGATTTTGTGCTGCTGTTCCGTCTGCCATTTGCATAGGTTCATTTCCTTTTGGTAATCCATATCCTGTTAACCATTGTTCTACTTGTCTTATCCATTGGTCTGTTTTATTTCTATTTCCGTCATATTCTGGTATTGATCCTATATTTTTAATTTTTATTTCATTAAATTCTGTAATGAGTTTTAGTTCATTTCTTTC